ATGACCTTCGGAATCCATAGGGATACTACCTTTGGATCTTGTGAAGTAAGGATGGAAAGTCAGACTACCACAAAACCAACCACCTGAAACAGAACCTGTCTTAGTTGCCACATAACAAATCGGTTAGTTAAAGAAATTTAACGGATAGAGAATCGCATATTGGGGATGCAATACTCCTAAACAGTTAAACGTTTCTAAATATTTTGCAATGGTTGTGTGTTTCATCCCGTCTTTGCTATTTCTTTTCTCAAATTTCAAAAACCCTGATTCTTTTTCTTCCTCTTTTGCTATTTTTGCTCTTTTATTTCTTCACTATTTTCCTTCTTTTTCATTCAATTTTTCCTTTGTCTTTCTCTCTCTCTCTCTCTCTCTCTCTCTCTCTCTTTTTATTCTCTTTTTTTGGTTTATTTTCACTCAGATTGCCTACAGCTATAATCGAATCTGATGGGGATTGCCTACATATCACGGCGCCGCATGAATCAGATCATTACGTAGTTCGGGGAATAAATGCGAAATAAAAGAAAGAAAAATTTTGGTTTTTCAATATTTCATTAAATAATTTTTTTTTGGATTTTTCTATTACAAAGACTCTGACATAGAAACTTAAAAATAGAAAAACAAAACAAACTTGGAAAAGACTAACAGACTCGAAAAAGTGAAATACAAACTCAAAGCCAAAAGAAAATCAGGAATACATAAGAGCCTCCAATGCTACTCCGGGGGCCCGCGGGACATCAGTCGGTCTCGACGCGGACCTGCTTGCAATCTCTTCTTGGAGGTACTCTAAATTAGCTATCACCTGACGAACAAAGGTCATCACAGCAGCGAAGAACATGAACCCGGTCATATCTTCGCATTCATGGCACTTCATTACGATATAATCAGCAATTTCTTTAACCCTCATTCTAATGTCACCCTTTTCTTGGAGTAGGCATCCAATTTGCTGAGACCGAGCCTACAACACTTGCGTGGTTGTACGGTTTTGGTCTTGCAATTGTTGTATGTCTTCTCTCAATCGGGAAATCAATGTATAGCAATAATCTCTCTCTGTTTTGAAATCCTTTGCTTGCTGGACCATTTCATTCTCGAGATTAGTCAGTTTTTTCTTTAAGATTGTAACCCTTTCATTATACCTTTGCTTTAACTGTTGAGCAAACCTTGTCCGTTCTTCTACATTTTTTGCCAGCTTTTCCCGGGCTTTTGCCAATTCATCCTCGGCCTTTGCCAGATCAAACCCATAATCGTGCACTTTTTGCCTTAGATTGCTTATGAGTTTTTCATCTTTTTTGCTTCTTGCCGGGTTTTTCATCTTCTGAATCCGAGCTCGGAGGGCTTCATTTTCTCGGACCAACCTTTTCTTTTCTCCTTCATCCACAGAGGCCTGCAAACCACTATCAAATTTGATGTTTCTGATTGATCTTCTAGTTTGCTTATGGTAGTCCGGTAGTCATTCTCTTTGGCTAACAAAGCTCACTATTCTTGCTATGCGTCAACAAACTCTTGGATATGAGGCCTTTTAGTCGGCCTTTCAAATTCATCATTTGTTGCGACTACCAAGCAAGATAACCCGGTAAAACCTTGCCCCAGGACAAATCGCGTACTCGGGTGTTTGCCCCCAATTATTGGCATTCACTCCAAATTTGGCGAACCACTTCTTCAAGAAATTGAGCCTCAGAGCGGATTTCAACCACATGAGTACTAAGATACTCATCTTTGGGAACTATCTGGCATCTTCCAAGTTGTCTCAACACCCGGTACGGGGCATAAGGTTGAATGCTTCAGAGACCCATTAGTAGGAAGTAAGGACCAGTGACGGGCATGTAAACAATCTCTTCAAAGGGAAGCCAACCCAATGTCCACTCTATCTGATCCACAGTTATAGAACGAAGGTGGAATATCCAATCTTTGACCCCTTCTGGCATTCGAATACGGTCACTCGTGTATCAAACTCCTCGATGCAATTTTTCCCCGTAGACTCGTAGTTCATGTATTGGGGACGGTGACAAAAGTGTTCGATCATCCACATTTGCAATAACAGATTACAACCCTCAAAAAACCTAACTCCGGCCTTACAGGATGTGAGAGCTCGGAATATATCTGATACGATTATGGTTGCAAGGGTACTCTTGGCCTGGGTAGTCAAGACATGGACAACGCCAGCTACATGTAAATCAATGTGCATGTCCTCCCTTGGAAACACTAAGAGGCCTAATAATGCCACCATGTAGGCAAAACATCTATGTGTTTACCACTTTGATCGGTTTCCTTTACTGCAGAGTCCACTTTCTGGGTCCTCAAATCCTCTTAAATGCCCATACTGCTGGTATAGAAAGTGAAAAATGAAAGCTCCACCTGCTAGATTTTTAATCTTGATCTGCCTGTTTATTTTCAGTAAGTCTAGAAACTTGTGTGGAGTAACGGTCCTTGGAGATATCAGGTACTTGTATCTTAAACCCTCTGTACTCCCGGCGTAACCCGCCATTTCTTCCAAGGTAGGTGTAAGCTCAAAATCTGAGAAGTGCAAAACATTGTGAGCATGGTCCCAGAATAACACTAACGCCTCTATCACATCACTTCTAGGTTTAATCTTCAATAATTTAGTGAGTGTCACCAGGTGTCAGTTGACCTTGTCTTGCCCTTGTTTTCCCAAATCCTCCACCACATGTGGAGTGCCAGTGGAATCTGATTCATAATCTTTATCGTTAAATTCTGAACTGTGATCATTCTGCACATTTTTAAATTAGAGTGACTGGGTTAAAATATGTGAGTTTTGTTTGCAAAACTGATCAGAAAAGTTAATTTTTTTTGCAAAATTCAAATTAAAACAAATCATGGCTACTTTTGCAAAGACGACCCTTCAGCACTTCAGAAGGGAAGATTTTAGAGATGTGTTTGCTAAGTGGACAAATATTAGAAAAAGGACTATAGGTGGCTATTCTTGCAAAAAGGGCCTTTCGGTATCCCGCCGGGATATTTTCGGCTATTTGGACAAAACGGCATCATCTAACTTTATTTATGACAAAAATGATGATATTTTCATATTTTTGGTTATTTTTGCAAAAATGGGGCTGGACCCGATGAGGGGTGCCTATGTATCCCACATCTGATGAGAATCAAACCTGCGTAGTTCGGTCAGTTTTGTCGCAACAGGAAAATATGACTTATTTTGAAATGACTTTTTCTCATCTTCTTTATTTTTTAAAATTTCTGCAGAGTTTCGGGATATTTTGAACACCGAAATTTTCAGAAACGGATGATTTTCTCTCTCCTACCTCAATCTTGGTTTTTCTTGATTTTCCTTCCCTATTCTAGAAGCCGATCAACATGCAAGCCGAAGCAAATAAATGCACAAGTAGCATGTAAAATGCATTAGGATAGTCTTTTTATTTTGGGTACACCTGTCCTAGACGGACCCAACCCTTGTGTTGAGTCCCCAAAGTCAAATGTACGTGATGAAAACAAGCGTTCCTACTAGGGATCCGGCATTAGGTTATGTTATTCTAGGTTTAAAACTTGGGTGTATTGTTCTAGACCTAGCTTAATCGAGCGGACAACTCGAGCCGGGGGGGCAACGTACCAGTAACCAAAAGGCCATCCAGCTTTGTAACTGATCCGATCCTCGTTCTAAATTAGGGTATGACACTAACAGGAAAGAAGTCACGCCAGCGTGCACTTCCCAGAATATTTAGAAGACTCAGAGAGAAGAAGGGTTGCGTAAAAGTTTTATATACATTTCACAAAATATCAAAGCGGTAAAAAGTGCCAATTAGCACATTAGGCCCAAACAAGTAATATCAAGTAATAAATAAAAGCCAAGTATAATAGTTATTCTAAGCTCGAATTCTTGAACCCTGAACCAGAGATTCTGGGTTCGTCTCCCCAGCAGAGTCGCCAGAGCTGTCACACCTCCTTTTTTCGAGGAGGATAGGGAGTTTTTTTCAATTAAATTGACATTAATCAAAATGGGATTATTTATTTATTTTCAGAGTCGCCACTTGAAATAATTTATGGTGTTCCAAATCACCGGTCAATTTTAAAATCCCAAATCGAGGAAATTGACTATTATTTATGATCCGCGAACACAGAAGAGGGTAAGGAATTCTGTTAACCCGGGAGAAGGTGTTAGGCATTCCTGGGTTCCGCGGTTTTAGCACGATCGCTCAACTATTAATAATTGGCCTAATTATCTGATTAATTACATATTTAGAACCTATTGTGCATTTTTAACTTTCTACCTGCTTTTAATTATTTATGAAATTTATTTGAACAAGTCGCGATGTCGCGTACTCGTTTGTTTTGTACACATTGCGAATCGCGTCACGGGAACTGTACCCACGATCTACAATAAGTTTAATTTTATTATTATTTGAAGTTATGGTCGGGTAACATGAAATGCGCACCCGAATTGGAGATTACGTATCATAACTACGCAACGGGAGTCGTACCCATAGTTGCAATAATTTATTATTAATCGCGCCTAAAGCAAGCTACGATGTTTGTGATTTGTTTACTATTCTAATTCAAAATCACGTAATATGGTAACGAACTGTTGGAGCTAAGAACTTAGTTCTTTTTATACGACCTAAGCTTTTGATTACCAGGGATTCGAAACCAAAACTTTGAGATGATTTTCATTCGTTGGCTATTTGGAAATTTGCGTGACACCCATGTACTTGAATTACAAGGAGATGAATCAAAACATGAGACCATTAAAAAACATATCAATACAGATTTCTATAAGTTTAATGTCAAAAATAGGATAGCTCATTCTATTATTATCCCATGCCATAGTGGGTGAGCCGGTCAGTTATGGGTACTAACGTTATTGGGTTGTATTCATTGATAGACTGGAATAGACCTCTATTTGACTAAGGTCGAGGTCCAAACTCATAAATCAGTAACTGTGGAAAACAAAGTAATCCTTCCACAAAGTTCAACACGCGACTAAACTACACAAAGGCAGGGAGAATTATTTTCCTGCTTAACCACCACAACCAAGGCATTTCGAAGGATTCAATAAACTTATATCATATTGCTAAATGACAACATTCATAGATTGAAATTCATACTCCTGAACAATAGCTATCAAGCTACTTGAATGTACGCAACTGTATTTCACTAGTAATGAAACAAATTATTACATTTTTGTACTAGAAAACTATACCAAACTAGAATTAAGCCATTATACAAATGACTATTTTCAAGTGATGAAACTTTTAAAAATCAGGCCAAGCACTGGTCAGATTTCTAAACTCGTCACTAATCCTTTTGGCGTGTTACTTCTTAAACCACAGACCTTCAGGGAATTTCAGAACTTCATGCGTAAGAAATCCATCAATAGTGGCTCAAACCTTGACAATCAAAGGTTAAGAAAATTGAACTGGTTTCATGCTTGTTTCTTATTATTACTCAAATTTCATTAAGGTTTAAGATATTCATCACATCAGATACTTTAAACCAAACTCAAACTTGCATTCAAACATGAAAAAAAAAAGCATTCAGTATACATGAAATGAGCAAACAACTGAAATTTCAGAGCAATATGATATTCAAATAACAACTACATTATTTGAGGCTATCAGCACACACCTTAACAGCAGCAAAGAAAGAGAAGAAGAAAATAAGTCTCTGAAAAAACTAGGAAGAAGCAGCAGCAAGAAGAATAGCAGTAGCAACGGAGCAACAACAAAACAAGAGGAGATTGAGCTAAATCAACCTCTTAATAGCAGAAATAGTAAACCAGCAAGAACAGAGAACTATTTTTTGTTTTTAAATACACTTTGAGACTCAAGAAAAGGAAAGAAATTAGTGTGAGATGGAGAAATATTTGCCCAAAATTCCTTTTGTAAGGATCTGTATTCAGAGATGCCTTTTAGAGTGAGTATGCTGATGATAATGTGTGTGAAATGAGGGAGTGTGTGTCCTTTATATAGAGTGTAGGAGTGAGTGTCTATGACGGGAATATTCTAGCCTAAAATTAAGGAGTGTCAGTTGTAGAAAAGGATAAAAAGCGTCTTTTTTTAATAGATTTTCGTGCAGCAGTCTGTTTTATCCAATTTCAGCATATTTTTTTTTAAAAAAAAAAACTAAAAATGGCAACTGTCCAATACTAGAAGCTTCTGATATTTTTATCTGAAATTCCCCCATTTTTACTTCTCAAATGACCCCTTTAAGTTCTGCTTAATACAAATAGCCACACCAATTTTGACCTAATTCCTGATTTTCAATGCCCTAAGTTTCCAATGTTCCTTTAGACCCCTCCCCCCTCAAGTTTCAATTAAGGCAAAAAGAAAAACAAATAAACCTACTAATATGAAATCCGTCCAGAATAGAAAACCAAACAAAAATGATAAACAAAAAGATATTAATCCTAAAATCATGCAATTAACCCACATAATCCTAATTTTAATGAACTTAATCAAATAAATAACCAAGCTTATTCAAAATTAACACCTAATTAATAATGCAACACTAAAAATAAAAACGGAGGGAATAAAAGAAGCGATATACTGATTTTTGCTGAGAAATGAGTCGACGAACGAAGCGAATTGACGAATGATGAAGGCGACGAAGCTTGGCCGGTCAGTGTTGACTTGGCCGGAATCGGGCGAGTTTCGAAATGACCTAAAACCAATATTAACCAATTGTTCTTGTTAAGAACAATTGACCAATGTAAGTCTTTAGTCAAAACGGGCGAATTTGCTCACAAAAATCAAAAAAGCGAAAAATTTGGGTTTTAGGGTTTCTGAGATTTGAAATTGGTGAATATGGGTGGGGATTTTGGGGAAATTAATGGTAGGATGACGTTTAGGAGAATATGGGGAGTATAGGGTGTAATTTTGGGCGGGTTTGGAGCAGTGCCGCCGCCGTGGGCGATTTCCGGCGAGCAGCAGACGGTGGTGAGAAAGGGGTGAGAGAGGGACGAGT